AATTTCATACTTCTTTAAATCTATATCGATAAAGATGACCTGACCCTTCAACATAATTAATCTGTGTTTATTTCTTCTATAGTTTAGACGCACTTAAACTCTCTGTTAGCAAATAATCTTAGTTAACTTAACGACGAACCGTTTAAGCTAACAACATGTACTATTTTGAGTTTTAATGAATAATTGATAACAAGAAGTAAATTCTTCTGGAAGTTGTCCTTTTAATTGTTTTATAAAATTTTGATTCAAATAAAAAAGACAAATACAATGATGAGTATTAGGCAATTTTGCATTGATAGCTACAACTATAACCAAGTTTTTATCTGTGAAAATAACTCATGAAAATAAAAAATTAGTTGCTTGCATTATACAATTGAGAATCCATTGAAATGTTAAATCAGTTTCATCTTCTATTAAAGTTTGTGCTATAATACGAGTTTGATTATGATTATCATATCATATTGATTTGTTTTTATGTATCATCTGTAATAACTACATTATGAAATCTTATTCAAAGTTGAATTTGCTGTGGTGATATTCATAGAATACTTCCTAAACGAAAATCTTCTCCAACTATACGTGTTTCAATTACCCAACCTGGATCTTCTTTTTGTAGGTTATAAAATTCTTGTAACATATTTTCATCATCATCTTTTTCTTTTATTCTCTTATATCTCCTAACTTCTTGAAATGTATTATATAAATTTTTTCAGTAAATGTATGTATCTGGATATCTTTACTTAATAATTGATATATAATTCGAGTTCCCATAGTTGGAACTGCAGAAAGGTACTCCAATATATTAGATTTCATTTCTTCTGAAAACTTACGAAATTGAACTCCATGAATCTTAATATTTGAATTCAATGGATGGTTGTATTCATCAACTATTGTAGAAATTTTGATAATTTTAGTTGATTTTGGACAGGTTATATTTACATGCCATAGACAACCAATTGATCCAGAATTTCTTTGACGATGTTTTTCAGGATCATTAGCTTTTCTTGGTTGGTATTGAGCTGCTTTAGTATATTCATAAATACGTTTACGAATGACATTATTATCATCATAATCAACTCTTCTTTTACGATATTCAAAACCTTTTTGCTCACAATATTGCAGCAAATATTTCTCTACTTCTTCGAAAGTTTCAAATATTTGTCCTTTTTGAAGTGATAAATTATCATTTTCTTCACTTGTAAAATTATCAACATCAGGTAAGTCATTCTTTATATAATTCATATCGATATTTTCATAATAAAAGTTGTTCAAAGGTTCGTTATTAAATTCCACAGAAGTTAAAGGTGAAAATTCTTAAATATCCATCATGAAATAAAGAGAAGTGGTAAAATGAAAATTATTTAAAAAGAAAATAGTTATTTAAGAAAGAGAACGTGGGAAAAAATATTTTTATTAGAGTTTATTATAATAATTTATTATAAGCAAGATTTAATTTCAGGTGAACAAAATTCACTCCGAGTGAATTTTTCAGTGATCAAAATATATACGATAACATGGGGGGTTATAATTTTACATATAATAACATGGAATTATTTTTAGCTTTTTCATAAAAATATATATATTATTTGGTAATTTTTGTTAAATATTGTTTAACTTCGCTTTTTTGATGTGACGCGCCAAAGAAAACCCTTGGGATGTAGAATTCAGATGTTTCCTAGCGATTTCGTTTTCGATAGCAGGTTTAATACAATTTTTATTTCATAAACACAGATATTTTCAAGATGTTGAAAGGATAAATAAATATAATAATTAAAATCATGTTAAACTATTCATATTTGATTTATTCAAAATTTTTTTTATTCGAAAGAAATTAATATTAAATTAATGAAGGTAAGATAAATAAGAACAAATAAAGAAAGGAAAAAAACCCCCAAATTATTAGGTGAAAACAATTATTATAAATTCTTCCCTTTTTTTAAAAAACAAGAAAATAAAAAAAAATAAAAATAAAAATAAAAATTTTAAATGTTCGAGAAAATGAGAGTGCAAAGATGAATTTGGCTAGCTTAAGAAAGCCCTTCCAATAAATAGCACCAGGCAATTAAGAAAGGTTACAATTCGTTTTGAGTCGAAGAGGAATATCCCCGAGTAAAATCATATCATTTATGTTTATCGTTTACATAATGGAGCATTGATTAGTTGGACGAGGTTTTCCCGTTACCGTCATTTCAGAAGCAACAATAACGGTTGGTTTATTGTCAACAGTAATTGGATTCATTTTTAATAGATTTGTTTAATTTGAAAGGGTTTAAATTAATTTGTATTTTTTTTTGTTTTTTTCTTTTGATTTCAAATCAAAAGGAAGATTATATAGACGTTTTCTGAGGCTTCTTCGCAATTTAGCAAGGGAAAAAAGGTGAGAAGGATGAAAAGATGTCTTATTTATAATACCATTTGCGCACAAAAAAAAATACATGTGTACATTCCAACAGTTCGCTGCTCGTTGGCGTTTTTTTTTTTCATTTCTGAAACGCATAGTGCTGTGGAAGAAATGCACAATAAGTAATTTTTTAAAGAAAATTAAGACAATTCATGTTTTGAGGGGTAACATTTTGTACTGAAGGTTGACCAAGTAAATGATTGCATGGTATGTAACATGACATAAATGGTGATTACGGCGAATTAAATATTATGAAAATATTTACTTTTTAAATAAAAATCATTATTTGAAAATAAGAAATGATAATGATTTTAAATAAAGACAAAAAATTTTTTTTTTTTTTTGTTTCAAAACGAATCGCTCGGATTTTGTTTCATGACCTAATTTTTGAAAAGTTTAAATTAGGTAAACTACAAATCCGAAAATGATTTTCTTTGTTGAACACAAAAGTCAAAAAAGCATTTCAATAGATTAAATATTACTAAGTATGACAAGTTTTAACTGCATTTGAACTGATAGAATCTTATTCAGGTACATATATGTTAACATAAATGGTCATCAATGAACAATTTTGTGTTGCGCCTCCATTAGGAAATAGGGAAATAAGGAAGTATTGTTCTCTAAAAGTAACGCATTTCCGAAGCAAAAGATACAGCATATCCTTTTTGGTTCAAAAAGTAAATTATTAATAGATTCATTCTGCGAGAGGGAGATTGAAAACGCAGTCACGGAGCAATACGATCAACCCCGAAGAAAAAATATCCCATTGTTCTATTTCACATGTTTACCGACTCATCTAAAAATATATCTATTATATGAAACAATAAAAAGTGCAATAATGAGAAAATCGATGTAAAAGTTTTTAGACTTCGAATGATTGTTCTGAAAACTTTATAAGCACATTCCTCTTCACCTAGCTTCCAAAATTCAAAGGAACGAACAAAAAATTTAATATTAAAAAAAGAAAAAACAACCGTTTAAAATTCAAAAATAAATAATTTAATAAAATGAATGCAAACACAGATAACATTACTTCTAAACCGGTCATCATTGTTGTTTCTGAAATAACAAAAAATCCCAATCCTACAAATCAATGCTCCATTATGTAAACAACTTTCGACATTTAAAAACGACTTTTTACACGTGTCTTCGAATGAGAATTAATCGGCAGACACCTTATTACCGGTGCGGTGCTTGAATGATAAAAGAAAAAAACATTATATAATTTATAATTTATAAATTTTTTATTAACTTTGAAATCAGATGTATCGTATTTTTGTGATGATGTTAATATTTGTAATTTAATTTAATTTTTCTTCATAGCTATTCTATGAATACATTTTTTCTTAATAAGCATTTTGTTTTCACATAATTTTTGACATTGTAAGTTCTCATGACCTTTTCGAGATTTTAAATTGAACTATGAAACGTCCAAATTAATTTAAAAAAATGTATAATTTTGATATATTCGTAGATTATAATAGTATTATTTATTAATTTATTAATTATAATAAAATTCGTGAACTTAATATATTTGCTAATAAATAATAAAACAAGGTCAGAGTTGAAAAAACATTTTTCAAATAAATTTTTTTTTATATCTAACCTCACACAAAAACGATACAAACGATTTAAAAAGGAATTTAATAATATCAAATTATATTATAGAAAAAAAATGTCTACATAATTTATAAATAATCTAAAATATCTATGCAAAAGCAAAATGAAATTTTTAAATACAATTTTACGAAAAAAAATAAAATAAAAAATATATATATTATAATTATGAAAAATTATATCAATGTTTTAAATTCAAAGTGAAAGGAAGAAAATGATAATATGCATAACGGATCAAATATAATGAATGAATCGTCAGAATATCCTTACATGATGGAACATTGATTAGTTGGTTTATCTCCTGGTTGTTCTGTGATTTTAATGATAACTGGCTCAGAAACGATGGTGGTTGGATTCATTTTGATTTTTCAACCAAAAATATTATGTAATCTCGATTATTTGAGGTATTTGTATTTTGAGGTGGAATTTTGAATTGATTCAAATTTTCTGCAAAAGAATTTATGTAAAGATTCCTTTTATTATTTTTATTTAATTTTCTTATATATATATTTTTTTTTGAATATTAAGAGGATGAAAAGGTGTTGTATTTATATGTTTTCCCTTCATATAAATTTAAAGTCAAGAAAGATGATTAGGGTAATAAAAGGAATGTTTAATCGGCCTCAAGCATGTGCGGCAATAAATCACGTGGTAAATTATCCCGATGACAATTGAATAATTATCATTGATAAACATGTAGGCGGCGGCGTATTTCAAACTAAAAATTCGAAGTTTTATATTTCAATTAGTTTATTGAGAAAAACAATGGGGGAACTACCAACCCAAATCTATAAAGTAAATAAAAGGAAAAAAACATACCTATTTCTCCTAAATGGATCCAGCTTGGAAAAGCTTATAAAATAATAATAATAAATTGAAAGGGCAAAACAATAAAATATTTTATTTAATCACTATTTCCTGATTATACTTAAAATAAAAAAACGTATTTTTAGAGTAACTAAGCTAAAATAAAATTTAATTATCATTTTAAAAAAAAGTAATCCAAAAATAAAAATAAAATAAAATAAAATTAAAAAATTTACTTCTAATATTTATTAAAAAAAGAAGGCTAAATTATTATATCGAATTTTTTATTATTTTAACATTAATATATATTATCTAGTTTTAATTGAATTCATATAAAATTAAAAGATTGATTCTGTTACTTATATTATTTTTTAAAAAAAATACAGGTATCTAATGTATCTAATATTATTAATATCATAATATCCAAATTCTGTTATATATTATAAATTAAAAATAATGTTTAATATATTACAAATTAATTCATAATTATTTAAAATTAGATTAAACACATTACAATAGTGGGATACTACTATGTAATATAATTTATATTACATGGTAATATCTCACTTGCCCTAGATTATAGTACTACTATATAATCTAAATATAACCATAAAATCTAAATATTACTATATAATCTAAATATCGTCATTAAATATGAGAACCGTAATTAATATGTTGCAACTTTTAATGTTGCAACATACGTTGCAATTAGTTTTGACCTATATATGTTGCAACTAATTTTAGCTTACGTTGCAACATGTTGTAAATTTGAAATTAATTGCTGCATCATCTTTAATCGTCATATAATCTTAATATTGTCATATAATCTAAAGATGTGAGGTGAGTGCTACGAAAAGGGATCAAATTTTTAAAAAAAGTTTTTTTAAAATAATTAAAGTTCTGAATCAAATAATAAAAGTTACATCTAATTTATTTAGGAATAAATTTTTGAAAAAAATTTCAATTTGTTTCCTTTTTGTAGCATTCACTTTATGTGATCTAACTACTACTATATAATCTAAATAATATAATTTAAATACAACCATGTAATCTATATATTTTCTGTATTGAGTATCTATTTTACGCTCTAACTATCCCTTAAACCTTTTCTATTATTTATATTTTTACCATCATATAATCTAATTACCATTTACTATATTATCTAACTACATTATATATAATCTAAATATCACTAATTTTTTTTTATTTCTAATCCATTGTAGAATCAATAATTTCATAATTTAAGGTATAGCAATGAGTATAACAATAATCAATAAAATTACACAATAAATTACAAGTAAAATCGCAGAATAATAAAAGAAATAATATTTATTAAAAGAAAGAAGAATACACAGATAAATTATGAACTGAAAAGGAAGTTTATACAAAATGAATAAATTCAAAAGGAGATAATTTA